CTTAACATAGTTCTTCAAGCTCAAAAAAGTTCCTAGAACTTCCGAGAGGTCGATTGAACTACAGGTAGTCCTACGAAATTCATGGGAATTTCTATGAAATTAAGGAAAGACCCACAAACTTTTGGAAAACCCTTCTATATTTAAAGCTTTATCAGGGTGTCGACTACCTGGAAAAACCTGGAAAGTCAAGGAATGCCAGGGAATTCTATTTATGATCAGGAATGTCAGGGAATGTCAGGGAATTTTTGTGTAGGTCTGGAAAAAAAAGTTGATCACATTTCAAAAAATCAAGTGTGGGACACATAAAAACAATCTTTGAAATTTTATCAGTGCATGACGTCAAAGTTTTTTTAGAAGATCCCGGGTATCAGATCTACTCACTGCGTTTATGGACAGCCTTGCCGGTATCTATTCGAACAAGTTGCTGCTAGTGTCCATGGATGGGCCCAATGTGAATTGAAGCTAGAGATACAAAAAGGTGACGAGAAGCTGATATATCTGGGAAGCTGTGGGCTGTATATTTTGCATAATGCATTCAAGGATAGTGTTCGCAGTATCAGTTGGAACGTTGTCAAATATTTGCGTGGTATCTACAATATCTTCAAAGATGTACCAGCAAGACGAGCGTTTATTACGATGTATTTTGGATCTACCATGTGTTCCCGTTGAAGTTTTGCGGTCACCGATGGCTGGAAAATAGTGCTGCTGTTCAGAGGGCAATTAAAATTACTCCGCAAATAAGAAAATTTATTCAAGGCGTCCAGAAAGACAAAATCGAACCAACGTCAGCTTCCTACCAAGATGTTAAAAACTGTTTGAATGACTCGCTGCTGATGGCTAATAGTACGTTCAGACTACAGATTTATAACATGTTATAGCAGTATCTTGATGGTGGTTACTGTGTTGCAATTATTTGACAACCGTTATAACATGTTATAACTCTGTAGTCTGAACGTGGTATTAAGCTAGCTTTCTTCAAATCAGTTGCTGTCGAAGTTGAGCAATTTCTATGCGAATGTCAGACGGACAACCCTATGGTGCCTTTTTTGTGCAACGCGATGTCTCAAATGGTTGGACGCATTATGAAAAGGTTCATTAATATTGATCATCTGAACAATATTGCACAGGTAAATGCACAATTGATCAATATGATCGCAAAAAGGAACGCCTGGACGTTTTTTGGCACAGGTTATTGGTCGGCGTATTCAGAACTATTGTTGGTTGTGAAAATGATTTGCTGCTTATCGCATGGCAACGCCAATGCTCAGAGGTTTTTTTTTGGTAAATGCAGGATATCGGTTTCCGTTCCGCTTTCGTCCACATTGCGTTTGGGCCTTCAGTCGTAGCGCGATGTCAGATTTCTGATGGTGTTACTCATGCAGGTGGGTTGGAAAACTTACAAATTTTGGGAGTTGGTTGGAAATGCTATCTAATATGAAGCTTTAGTGCGATAATTTATTAGCTAGAGAATGATCTTAGAAGAGGGTAGGCAGATAGTTCCGGTAGAGTACGGAAGTATGAAAATTGAATAGAAGTTGAAAATGAACGAAGGGCCATTAATGCGACAGTACAAAGTCAAACGCACACCTTTTGCCTAACCCGTACGATGTACGCGGAGATTTGAAGTATGTCTTCAAATCTACAGAATGAACTTATACAGCGAGTTGGAAATTCGCATTCGCTTTCCATGTAGACAAGGATCGTCGTATGAAAGAAGCTTTCGATTCCGAGAAAGCGAAATTGTTGAAACGCCAGAGAGGAACAGAAGCGAAACATCTCAAGAATAAGCGAAGAAAGTTATTGGAAAATGCTCAAAAAGAAGCCGAGAGTTTGCAGGAGAAAATTGTTCTGCTCAAATGATAAACATTTTTAAAAGTAATCCGAACATAAACACATATTCAACTTGTAATTTCTCGTTGTAATGTGAAATCACTGAGAGAATAAAATGTTAATGATAATTAAACTTATATAGGGGAATTTACGTATTCTCGGCAACCTAAGCAGCGACCATCTTTCTATAGCCTTTTTCTCTAAGGAACGCACACATATGCAGTATTGGTTTGTTTACAATCTTTTGCTGCCAGCTGCTCTAACAATTTCAGTCGAAAGAATTGTCAAAAACTGTTTTGAAACGCTTTTACAAAGCTCCAATCTTCTCTAGTGAGAGCGAGTATTGTCGGCAACCAGTTTTTCTTCGGCAACCGTTCCATTTGAACTGCATGTAAATCTGCTGTTCTATTATCGGCAACTCGAAATCAGCTACAATTTGTAGTGCGTGTGTTGCATTTCAAGAAAACCTTGCTAGATTGCTTTTTCTCAGTGGTAAAAATATAGTCAAATTGAAGCTGAAAGCATAAAGAATCGTTTGCATGCATTCAGCGAAGTGTTTTCGTAAGAAAATCCAGTGAAAATAGTGTTTCAATTTAGGTTGCCGAAAATAGTCTGTCATGCCGAAGCCGTCATTTCCCCTATTATTTTGCCATGTCTGCGGTTGTCATATGGAGTTCCAGAGAGTACGAAAACTTACTGACTTATGCATGAGCCTTGTATCCTCAGGTTCGGTTGCCAAAGCAAGAATGATCACTGCTCTGTTATTTTACAATAATTTATATGTTAAGAGAAAGGATCGTCTACGGGTTGATTTTTATTTGGCTGTGAAATTAGGAGCACAAATTGAGAGCTTGGTGACATTTATTAAATATTCCTATTATTACTTAGTAATGAGTAGTGAGCCTAGTTGTGAGCAGTAGTTATTATTATAATATGTATTTATAGCCCTAGGCCTTTTAACATCTTTCGTTGGTAGTCGGTCAAATGTTCTGTAAAAATTGTATTAGTATCAAGTTCTGTTTTACGTGCCACGAAAACTTTCCCTGCTGCTCATTTTAAACTAACCTTAATTTGCATTACACTATGATAAAGCACATCACGTTGTAGCTTCTTAGGTTAAAATAACGGAGTTTTTTGGTCTGAAATTTTTCTGATAACCGACTGGAAAGTCAGAGAAAGTCAGGGAATTTTTTTTTCGACTTTGAGTCGACACCCTGCTTATGAACTTCAGGGAAGCTCTTCTAAATTTAGGGTCCGCATATATTTAGTTAAGTCCTTCAAACTTCAGGGAAGTCCTTAGATCTTCGAGAAAGTTCTTCGAACTTGAAATAAGTCTTACGAACTTCTGAGAATTTCTACAAACTTCGTGGTTCAAAAAACTCCGAACTTCAGGGAAATCCTAAGATCTTAAAAAAAGTCCTTCGAACTTCGGGAAAGTCCCATGAAATTAAGGCAATACAAACTTCAATGAACGCTTCAGGGAAGTTCTACGAACTTTAGGGAGTTTTTCTGAACTTCAGCAGTCAGTCTTTTTAATAATAAGAGTTATTAAACCAGCGTTGTTTATGAAATCTTTTAATCATATGATTTTGAAATCATGTTGTAATCAAAATTCCGCTAAATAAAATCCTTAATCGTTGACAATTTGCGGAAAATTTAAACAAACTGGAAAACCGTAAAATTGTTAGAAGCAAAGGTTTATCAAAGAGTCCTCATTCATATCACACTTCGCAATTTCACCTTGAGATAAACTAGCCCGTTGGCAGTTGCAGTTTCATAAACGGAAATCTCAAGATTTAGGGGCTTATAGATCTCTAAATTTCAGACATTAGATAGGGCTCCGCGCTAGTCCGTCGTATCTCAGCTTTTCTTCGTCATACACCCCTAAAATCGCTCATTTTACGGGTTATCGCAAATGTTTCAGTGTCAATCGTAATTAATCTTGTAAGCAAAGATGTTTTTGCAAAAACATGAGTGAAAACGCTTTGCTATTATAGTTTTAGCACATAGAACGGAAATAGGCGCCATGATACGACGAAGTAGCGCGGCTCCCTACTAGCTTCTTTACAGCAAACAATCAGATAAAGATTTCACGGGCATTCATAAGAACCTTAATACCTATTTTGGTTTGTGAAATTCCGCATTGCGCGAAGAATGATGGCACAAGGATTCACTTTATTTATTTTTTATTAAAAATTGTATATAAACATGGTTTTTAAAACCAGGAAACTTTTAAATCATTGACCAGGAATTTCAAAATGGAAATTCACTTGCTTCATGTTTTTAAGATTTATAAATTCACGGTTACATTAACAACGGTTATCGATTAACAACCGTGGTTAAAACCATGAAGAATAAGATAATGTGGTCGTTAAAAACGATTAACACAAAAAATGTAGAATTCAGTTAATCCTAGATGGGTATCGCTTGGTTTCAGTGTTCTTAGTTTCTTTCTCTTTCTGTAGAAACAGGAATTTACTTCCCAATGCGAATTCCGTCAAATTTGCATTCCTCCGTTATCCAAGATATATGGACATGTCTATGGATGCATTCCACTTTTATATAAACCAACTGTTTTGTTTTGTTATGAATATACCAACACTTGTCCAGTTGCGTGTATAATACATGCGTGCATAATAAATTCTTATCAAGGCCCGGTGACAGGGTGGAATGCGATAGAACAATCTTTTAAATTTGGGCAATTTTGGTGGTTGTATCAGATGGCGACGACGACTGCCAACCACCTTACCAAGTTCAGAGTTAATGAAATTTGATCTTCAAGAAAGCACATACATAGTATATAGGCAATATACCAACAATTCAAACACGAAAAGTTCTTGGGCGCGTGTAGTACGTTGATTTACGTCACCCACTGCATACTGCCCGTACCGTCTATGTAGAATATGCGGTTTTATCAGAAGTGGTTGTGTTTGACCTAGTTTTTTCCCTACATAGCCGTATCGGGCTGTATCCACATTTGTACACATTAGAATTAATGCTTTTTATTTTCAACTCATTAGAGATTATTCTCGGATGGTCGTCGTTGGGGGGTCGGACCTTGCTCAAACAGTTGCACGCTGGGCAAGTCGTCTCCGTCGTCGTTGCCTTTGTTGTTGACGAGACTTATGGCCGATAGAGGAGCTACATATATCTCATATTATGCTACTCACCAATCCACGAGCCCATCTCCATATCGATGAGCAGCGGCTCGCTGACGTTGTAGAGCTGAGGAAGCAGTACCGCCGAGTAGCCAATTGGCATACCGCATGCTGCTGCCAGCAGCAACACTGCACATGTTACAAGACACTGAAACGAAAGAACAAACAAACAAACACAATGATCATTGAGTAGCAGCAGCAACTGTTGTGTTTTGACGACATCGATTAGGGCTTTTTAATTGGTTAGAGTGGTTGGGGTTACCGAGGGTTAAAACGAGTGCGTGGAATTGAATCAGCTGGTAGACGGTTTTGATTGAGGACCGTCAATTGACTGTTTTAATTTGTTGCATCAAACCGGTTGCTTGATGATCCCGCTGATTGCCAGGCTTGTCAGATGATTGAAAACAAGTTGCTTTCGAGCGGGGCTAGATCGCTAGACGATGGGAATGTGTGACTTTGTCACGTGTACAGTGTTCAAGTTTTGTTTGCATTTTTACAAGGTGCCAATTAGCAATCGAATTATTCATATCTAATGTGCGAAGAGACGTTCGCAAAACTTGTTTATTAGAAACGATTCATATTTTTTTTAGCATCGATCAACAGCCGCCGGCCCTTGTGGAAATAGCTAGATTTAAGAAACGTCGAAACGTGAGGTGTCACATGCAAATTTGCTTTGAAAAATTGTATTACAGTGCTTTCCAACTTTTATCAGCTCCCGATTTTGTCTACCCTCGATTTTGTCAGCATTTTTTCCCGATTTTGTCAGCCTGCAGATTTCACTAAACTTTTCAGTTTCTTAATATGAATTGTCATACTTTTCGCTCTGAATGATGTTTATTCTTACCCTTCGCTGAAATTTGAATGTTAGGGGAAGTGGAGGTAAAATGGGAATACAGGGTGAAATGAATATTTGACAATTTTAAGTGCTTATGCATGCAAATATCAATCATTTCAACGCACAGGACTTTCAACCAATGTACCTTTTAACATTTAATTAATTTACATTCAAAGATTTTGAATGACTTAACTGTTGAAGAGATCGGTTCATTTTATTCCCTGTTCCCCTACTAGGAATTATTAGTTTTGAATTGCTGTTTGCTAGAAAAAAATATGTTTACCACGGAAACCTACACTCAAAATAATCGACACGTCAAAGCTACGTGAAAAATCACATAAGGTATCTCGTTTATTCTATCAGCTTTACGTGACTCTCGTAGCATATATGTGATACCACTTAAATATTAAAGAACATTTCTGTTGAATACTCTAACGCATCCAATGAAATTTACGTGATTTCCACAGAGACAATTTCTATGTGCGTTTCACGTAAACCTTACATGGTTTCCACTTCTGAAAAAAAAAAGAGTGCGACACTCAGCATGGTGCACAATATGGCGGCTAGATGTAGAGATGTTTTTGTTATTTTGATAAATTAATTGCAAGATGTAAGTATAAGATCCGGGTTATTTTTTCCCATTGTCAAAACTCACATAAAATTTTTATTATTTTTACAGGTAGGTGTCAAGCAATCCAGCAGTTCCCCGCGGAAAAATAACTTGGATTATCACCAACCTCTATGTTATCACCCTGCACCTGATTGGAATTATTAGTGTTTCATCGGATTTCATTGTGGCTTTTTTTAATTGAATAAAAGGACATTATTCTGATATATTGTGAAAATTCATTATAATAATAAATAAAAAAAAGTATATAAGTATCATCAATAACAATGGTACTTAAAACCACCATGACATTCATTAGCAAAATCACGTAAGTTATACGTGATACTCATGTGACGTTGAAGCTTGACGAAATGAGTGCATCTACATGAGAATCACGTAACTCTTAGGGGCTGTTCATAAACTACGTAGACAGTTTAGGGTGGTGACAATTATCCACGGCCCATACAAATTTAAAAAAAATTTGAATAGACAATTGTCTACGCAGGGGAGGGGGGTCGAGAATCCCAAAAAACTGTCTACGTAGTTTATGAACAGCCCCTTACGTGAAAAGTACGATGGAAAAAATCTACGTATGTTTTCACGTAGCATTGACGTAAACATTATTTTGAGTGTACATTTTCTCGAGGGGGACGACACATCTAAATCTCAATTCTAGATGCTCCAAAAATCTCACACTAGTGAATAAATCTTCGAAAAATCTTCTTTCATTTCTCGCATCTACTTGCATCGCGCATCATCATATTTCCTGCATCGTAGATAGAGTCGTCCCCCTCGCGTTTCTATACTATTGGAATGAAAACATTACTTTATTGTCAACAACATTTATTCATAGAAATTAAGAAAAAAGAGCATCACAAATTTAAGAAAATGCATTGTAAAAAAGTTGCATAAAAGTTTTGATTGACTTTCAATTTTCAAGAAATTTTGTCATCGCAAATTCTCGAATTCGACGGAAATAAATAACATCAAAAGGGGTCCACGGATAGTAATCTCCTTATACCTTTTGGCAAATTTCTATTGCTGATTATTCATAAAATGTATAAATCGACTAATAAGCAGACGCCTTGCAAAAAGTTAATGAAGATCATGTGTCAAATGAAATGTATAATCGGTCACACATATCTTTTATATATTCTTATAGGACCTATGTGGTTTGTCTTATGGAATGTATAAGGCTGATGTTTTGGCAAAAATGGTTGGTTGGTTGGTTGTCTTTATTAAGGAGATTTTCAGCCAGATGCTGGTTCATCTCCGTGGCAAAAATGTATAAGTGAAACACATGAATAAAATAACTGATTTTCGTTCCGTGTAGGTCACTCAGCACAGTGTGCACTCATAAAATAAATCACATAACCAGTGGAAAATATCCATGTGAATTTCACATAACTCTCATGTGATCCCATAATTGGAAATTGCACCACTAAATCACATGAACGTTATGTGTCCAATGAAATCTATATGATTTCTCATATAGAATTTCTAATGCTATGTGACATTCAGGTAAACATCATTGTTTTTGTTTTTGGAAAAATACTATGTGCGTTCCTAATGTAAACTAAGTCAAAACTTTTTTCAGTGTGCCAAAAACACAGTAGGGCACACCATGGCTCACTCACTGGCACTGTTTGGCACCCATGGTAAATAATTTTTGTGATCTCTTAAGTAGCTGGTATCACTGAATTATTTCTGCGCCTGTGCAGTGAGGATGTGTCAAAATTTGATTGTTGACACAAAAAAATTTTTTTTTTCGGTATCCGCAACAGATATTTTCGCCGGAGCCTCCAACTCATCCTTACTGCTACGGTCCACAACCGGATCAACGGAAGATGCCGATATCACAACGAAGACCGGGTGGATTTAATATAAATATTTGGAAGCCAGCGCAGGAGTGCAGAAACTGCCACGGAATTGGGCAGTTTATGAACCCCTGCATTGACTTCCAGTTGTTTCACTGATTTAAAACAGTCACTAACATTGTCTGTTGTAGAACTCCAGACATGGATACGCTATCCGGCACACAAACAGAACCACGAACCGACCAAATCATCAGGAAGCATTTAGCGCTCAACCAGGACTAGTTCAGGATTGATTAAAATAAAATCACTGCAACTCCGCCACTAGACATTTTAACCCCGAATAAAAATCATTAAAAATGAATCCCAAAATATAATATTTATTTATTTAAAAATATAATTTAAATTTACCGACTTATTAGCATGTGTAGAGCAATTATTTTCAATCAGAGATTCTACAATTGACGTCCATTCCGTCTCCAGTAGCTTCTGGATGGTGATCCGAATTTTGGGATTCTTGTGCAACAGCGAAAGCAGCACGTATTCCAATTCTTCGCAGGATTCTTCAGGATTGCAGGATTTCCTCAACGTCCAAGAATGGTTTCTCGAAAAACATGAACACGTACAGTGTCACACCGAGAGCCCACATTTCCAGTTCCGGGCAGGAGTAGCGGTTGCCTGCCAACACTTCCGGACTGCAGTACTCGGTCGTGCCGTAGAAGGTAAAAAAAATAATTGTAAGCTGTACGAACGTCGCCGATCCGAAGTCAATCAGTTTGATATGGAAATTGTGCTCGGTGATAATCATAAATACTCAGAGGGAGAGCTGGGCGAAGATAATGTTTTGAGTCAAATGAACTGCCAAAATCTGAGCCAATCGAACATTCCCATTAGAATTTGTCCGAGGATTTCTTATTCTTACTGGATTATATTTGAGAGTAATTCAATCGAACAGAAATTCAATCACCATTATGTTTCGTGTGCTTCTCAAATTCAACTAATTTTTGGAATCAAAAACAATATTCTAACTCTATTGATTAATTGATCTTAGTTGGTTAATTAATGGCACCAAGAAATGTGCAAAATATTGCGATGCAATCAATTGTTATTTTGCACGTAAATCGAATGAAAAATAAAAGTAATGTGAAATGCTGGCTTCTAGCAAGGGTTGCAAGATAATTTAGGTACAAATCCCTGCTGCCGAATTGTACTTTGTTTTCTCCGCCTATCTCTCCCTCTGAGTATTTCTAATGATAACGTTTTCGTCTTTGATGTCCCGGTGCAGAATGTTCAATGAGTGCAGTCCCGATGTGACGTCTATCATACGCACACTACGTCGCGTTTACGTATACGCAAAATGTTTTCACCAGGAACTAAATTTCATAGCAAAAAAATTTCCTGATGAAAACAAATCACTGACACAATCACACTATTATCAACAATCAATACGAAACTAACGATTTTAAATTGGCTCACTGCTTGACTGCCTATTGGTCCCAAGCAAATCGATTAACGTATCCCATTCTAGTCAAAATTCTAGTACTACACAATGTTTGTTTTGATGCGCTATGAAAGTTTGACAGCTAAAATGAGGGGTTCTTGGATTTTCCTATGTTTTGAGGGGTGCTTGGGACCGTAGATAAAGGGTGATACGGTCAAAATTTGGTCAATATCAACTTGACGTATTTCTTTCAATTTTGCATTTAAAAAACCTGAACACCCCTCATTTTGAAGGTGTGTGTGTGTAGAATGTTGCTCCTATTTTGATTTTGGAATTCACTCTTCAGTTGTCAAAATGCCGTCCAAGCAAGAAGAGCAGCGTATCAAAATTTTGCTCGCGCATCGCGAAAATCCGAGCTACTCGCACGCAAAGTTGGCAAAATCGCTAAAAG